CTTTCTGTTTCTAAAAATGAAGCCTGTATCCATTACAAAGATTTAAAGGCCTGTACCACTCAAAACACAAAATATCAGAGGCCTGCAACATTCCAGTATAAATTATTAGTATTCCCCTGCATGCAATATTACATATAAATACATTATAGCATCCAAATTTGATTAAAAATCAGCATCACATAAAGAATATATCCTTCCTAGTGTAATATTTTACTAGGATATTCATGCTGTACAGAATGTGGACATTAACAAATCTGTGATTAAGTTTGAGTCACAATTAGCAATGTCATGATGTTGGTCACACTGGGGTACCCGGAACGAATGCCTTGTCACTGCCCACTGAAGGAGAAGTCCACATCTGACCAAACAGCCTCTAGATCACTTTCCTCCACTTCACCCTGATGGATACAGAAACTCCAAATAATTCTTCAAAAAAACTGAATGAATATAAAATGCATAAAAAAGATATTCAAAATATTAGTAAAATTCTCCAATGATACTAAGCCCATATATATATACAACTATATCATCAGGCATAGCCACAACTATTTGTTTCCACCCTTTAAGGGTCCCTCATGGCAAGCTGTTAGGCAGGGACTTGGCCCATCTCAAGCTCCTCATGACAGGTTTGATCGATCTGCCCAAGCAATGATTTCCTAGGTCTTCCCACTGGTCTCCTCAGCCCAGGTTTGTCTCGTACAGAGACAACCTGCTGTACAGGATCATCCTGTGGGAAGTGAGCCAGGTGGCCACATAGCCTGAGTTGGCAATCACGGATCCCGCCAACAGTACCCCATGATCCGGCACAAGAACCTATTACAAAAGGCATCAAGAAGAGACTCCAACGCACAAGATAATGTTCAGGTTTCACTGTCATATAGCAAAACTGGCATTATCAGGGCCTTGAAAACCCGTAGCTTAGTCCTTCTGCACAGGTACCGGCACCTCCAAATACTTTTACTGCCAGGCCATTCTGTCTGCTGAGTTCCTGGTCTGACAGTCATGAGTTATGAACTACACTACTAAGGTATGTAAAGCTCTCTGTGACTTCAATGTCCTCGCTGCAAGCACATACCGACCAAACACGTTCTCCTAGCAAGTCCCCAAAGTCCTGGATCTTAATCTTGGTCCAGGAGACCTCTAGACCCAAGGACTTCCCTTCATTCTTAAATGCATCCAGAGCCACCACTGAAGTTTCCAAAGATTCAGATAGAATGGCAACATCATCAGCAAAGTCTAGGTTAGTAATCTTGACATTGACCACAGTTGCTCCACAATGGCTTCGAACAGTAGCTCTATCTATCAGTAGCTCTATCCAGTCCATGCAAGTGTTGAAAAGTGTTGGCACAAGGACATAGCCTTGCCTCACTCCTGAAGCTCGACAGGCCCACAGTACACTTTACAGCACTCTCAGTACCGGTATACAGGTTTGCTAGTAGTCCAATAATCCTTGTTGGAATTCCTCTGAATCTCAGGATGTCCCAGAGTGATTCCTGATGCACTGTATCAAATGCCTTCTTGAGGTTGATGAAGGCTGCAAGCAGCCCACACCTGAACTCACGGCAGCGCTCTAAAATGACTAGGTCATCCCACAGGTTTCCTCCACCTAGGTTGTCACTTACAGAGACAACCTGGTGGACAGGATCATCCTGTGGGAAGCGAGCCAGGTGGCCATATTGCCTGAGTTGCCGATCAGGGATTGTGCATGTAACAAGTCCTGTGCAAGTCTCAGTTGGTTGGACACGTGGTCCGGCCAACAGTACCCCAAACTACAAAACCTACAAAAAGAAATGTGCAACAAGGAGGTACCTCGCTTCCATACACATACATACTGAAGTTGGGTCAAATAAGTTTTACGCAAACTTCATGTGGGCAATCGGTAGAAATCGACAGAGCAATTCAAATCCACAGTAAGAAGTACTTAGGCGTATTTATGAAAGATCAAGATGTATACATATAACTATCTCTCTCTCTATATATATATATATATATATATATATATATATATATATATATATATATATATATATATATATATATATATATATATATATATATATATATATATATATATATATATATATATATATATATATATATATATATATATATATATATATATATATATATATATATATATATATATATATATATCATATATTATATAATATATATATATATATATATATATATATATATATATATATATATATATATATATATATATATATATATATATATATATATATATATATATATATATATATAATATATATATATAATATATATATATATATATATATATATATATATATATATATATATATATAATATATATATATATATATAAATATATAATATATATATAATATTATATATATATATATATATATAATATATATATATATATATATATATATATATATTATATATATATATATATATAATATATATATATATATATATATATATATATATATATATATATATATATATATAT